TAAGAAAGCTTTCCTAAGTGATCAATGCAGAGAAATAGAGGAAAAACAATAGAATGGAAAAGACTAGAGATCTCTTCAACAAAATTAAGAGATACCAAAAGGGAACATTTCATGCAAAGATGGGCACAATAAAGGACAGAAATGGTATGGATCTAACAGAAGCAGAAGATATTAAAAAGAGGTGGCAAGAATATACAGAAGAACTATACAAAAAAGATCTTCATGACTCAGATAACCATGATGGTGTGATCACTCACCTAGAGTCAGACATCCTGGAATTCAAAGTCAAGTGTGTGTTAGGAAACATCACTACGAACAAAGCTAGTGGAGGTGATGGAATTCCAGTTGAGCTATTTCAAATCCTAAAAGATGATGCTGTGAAAGTGCTGCACTCAATATGCCAGCAAATTTGGAAAACAGCTGTGGCCACAGGACTGGAAAAGGTCTGTTTTCATTCCAATCCCAAAGAAAGGCAATGCCAAAGAATGTTCAAACAACTGCACAATTGCACTCATCTCACACGCTAGCAAAGTAATGCTCAAAATTCTCCAAGCCAGGCTTCAACAGTATGTGAACCATGAACTTCCAGTTGTTCAAGCTGGTTTTAGGAAAGGCAGAGGAACCAGAGATCAAATTGCCAACATCTGCTGGTTCATCAAAAAAACTAGAGAATTCCAGAAAAACATCTACTTCTGCTTTGTTGATTACACCAAAGCCTTTGACTGTGTGAACAGAAACATGAAAGTCGCTCAGTTGTGTCCGACTCTTTGCAACCCCATGGACTATACAATTCATGGAATTCTCCAGGCCAGAATACTGGAGTGGATAGCTGTTCCCTTCTCCAGGGGATCTTCCCAACCCAGGGATCGAACCCATGTCTCCCATATTGCAGGCAGATTCTTTACCAGCTGAGCCACCACTGTCTAGATCACAAAAACTGTGGAAAATTCTTCAAGAGATTGGAATACCTGACCACCTTACATGTCTCCTGAGGAATCTGTATGCAGATCAAGAAGCAACAGTTAGAACTGAACTTGGAACAACAGATTGGTTCCAAATTGGGAAAGGAGTATATCAAGGCTGTATATTGTCATCCTGTTTATTTAACTTACATGCAGAGTACATCATGCAAAACTCTGGAATGGATGAATCTCAAGCTGGAATCAAGATTGCCAGGAGAAATATCCATAATCTTAGATACACAGATACCACCCTTATGGCAGAGAGCGAAGAACTAAAGAATTCTTGATGAAAGTGAAAGAGGAGAGTGAAAAAGCTGACTTAAAGCTCAACATTCAAAAAATGAAGATCATGGCATCTGGCCCCATCACTTCATGGCAAATAGATGGGGAAAAAGTGGGAAAAGTGACAGGCTTTATTTTCTTGAGCTCCAAAATGACCATGGACAGTGACTGCAACCAGAAAATTAGAAGATGCTTGCTCCTTGGTAGAAAAGCTATGACTAACCTAGACAGCATATTTAAAATTAGAGATATTACTTTGCCAACAAAGGTCCATATAGTCAAAACTATGGTTTTTCCAGTAGTCATGTATGGATGTGGGAGTTGGACCATAAAGAAAAATAACCACCGAAGAACTGATGCTTTTAAACTGTGGTGCTGGAGAAGACTGCTGAGAGTCCCTTGACAGCAAGGAGATCAAACCAGACAATCCTAAAGGAAATCAGTCCTGAATATTCATTGGAAGGACCAATATTCATTGGTGCTGAAACTGAAGCTCCAATACTTTGGCCACCTGATGCAAAGAACTGACTCATTGGAAAAGATCCTGATGCTGGGCAAGATTGAAGGCAGCAGGACAAGGTGTGACAGAGGGTGAGATGGTTGGATGGCATCACCAACTCAATGGACATGAATTTGAGCAAGCTCTGAAATATGGTGAAGGAGGACAGGGAAGCCTGACGTGCTGCAGTCCATGGAATCACAAAGAGTTGGACATGACTAAGCAACTGAACTAAACTGAACTGAAGCAGACTATAAGAAAGAAGGAGTAAAGCTGTTTAAAAATGAAAAAAAGTTTCGAAAGGGTAGCTAAAGCAAGGATGAATGTGAAGAAATACACAGTGAAATATAACCATGTATATGACATATTTTCTTTTTCAGTAGAAGTGTAGTATGAATATGTGTGTGCGCAGTCATGTCCAACTTTGGGTGTCCAACTCTTTGTGACCCCATTATAGCCCACCAGGTGCCTCTTGTCCATGAGATTTCCCAGGCAAAAATATTGGACTAAGTTGTCATTTCTTTCTCTAGGGGATAGTCCCAACCCAGGGATCGAACTTGCATCTCCTGAGTCTCCTTCTGGCAGATTCTTTACCACTGAGTTACTAGGTAGCTTCCAGTAAAAAAAAAAAAAAAAGCTCCATAAACTGGTGATGGGAGTAGGAGGTGGTTAACAGGGGAAGGAGTGCTTGGTAGCCAGCGCTGTTCTCTGTCAAACTGAATTGGGAATCACTCTACCTAACTGCTGCTGCTGCTGCTGCTGCTGCTAAGTCACTTCAGTCATGTCCGACTCTGTGTGACCCCATAGACGGCAGCCCACCAGGCTCCCCCGTGCCTGGGATTCTCCAGGCAAGAACACTGGAGTGGGTTGCCCTTGCCTTCTCCAATGCATGAAAGTGAAAAGTGAAAGTGAAGTCGCTCAGTCATGTCCAACTCTTAGCAACCCCATGGACTGCAGCCTACCAGGCTCCTCCGTCCATGGGATTTTCCAGGTAAGAGTAGTGGAGTGGGTGCCATTGCCTTCTCTGACTCTTCCTAACTAGTAGGTGGGTTAGTCAGCAAGTGAGAGTGCAGATTTGGATGTTTAGAGATCAATTCCTCTGTCCTAGCCACTAAGCCAGCACCTCAGTCCATTCATTTCCACAGCACCCCTTTGAAGCAGGCAACTGTGATTGTAACTCTCTCTTTAGGATATAGAAGGGATACAGAAAATGCACTCTTACTTTCTATGCTCATAATCCTAAAGTAGGCATTGGAGAAAAGCTTGCTCTGGAAATTTCTACTCTACTCTAGAAAGTAATAATCATGATAAGATTCTAATTAAAGCAGGATTTTTCTCGGAGGAGTAATGATACCATGAGAAATAGAGATTACCTCCATCATTCCTGGAGTTCCATGTATGTGCGTGCGTGTGTGTCTTTGTGTGTGTGTGAGATAGAGAGTAAGAGAAAGAAAATGACTTTTGCAAATTAAAGGAAATACTGGCTCTGAAAACCAGAAACAACTTTCAATAATTGTAATCTCATTCATTTAAGAAATATTTATTGAGTGCCTATTAGGTAGCACCAAGGGGATACAGTGAGGATGGTGATCGATTTGCTGTTGCCCTCACGTAGTTTAAAGTCTAACAAATAACACCAAACATCAACAAGACAAAAGGGGTGAAACAAAGTAGGGCAGAAGAAGTTCAGATTTCAGGAAGCATATATCTTCCTGATACATCTCCCAACAATCTGAGCATTGTCAGATTCCTTGCCAGCAAGGGTAGCAACTGTCTATGTTGAATGTGGACTTCCAAGAAGTGGTGAAATTGTATGTGCACACACTTCATTGCTTTCTAACTTGGCTTCAGTTTAAGAGTGGTTTGGGTCTGAGCACTTCTGAATCATTTGTAGTTACAAAGTTGAAACCCCTGGAGGTCTCATTCTATAGATACTGAAGGGGGCAGAATAAGGATATGAGGCCCAAAGAGTCTCAAACGTTATTGGTATTCACTTGGGGCTCCAAAGCCTGGGTAATAGCTAAAGTATGGTCTTCTGGAATGATAAGTAGGAAAGGAACACCTGATACATAAATAACTTAGTAAAATTGCCATGAGCTAGTCATGAACTATCTGGGAACATCATAAAGACCAGACTGGGACATTCCATGTAGACTCAAAAGGAGTTATTTACAACTGTAGATTTAGCTTTCAAATGAAAAGAAAGGATGTTCTTACAGATCATACTCATCAGGCCAGGTATAAAGGCTGAATGGTCAGAAACAATTAGATGACCATCTTTCTGTCACTAAGCTGCTTTTATTTATGGAGGTAACAAGTTTTGCAGGTGAAGTGATTCCTGATTAAACCCCAACTCAGCACATTCTATCTCTGTAATGCTCTATTAGGTCATTTAACTTTTCAGAGTCTAATTTTCATCATATGTAAAATAGAGCAGAACCCAGACAGCAGAACTGCTATGGTGGGAGTTCAGTTGCTAAGTCATGTCCAATTCTTTTGCGACCCCATAGACTGTAGCCCACCAGGCTCCTCTTTCCATGGGAATTCCCAGGTAAGAATACTAAAGTAGGTTACTATTTCCTTCTCCAGGGGATCTTTCTGATTCAGCAATGGAACCTGAGTCTCCTGCATTGCAGGCAGTCTCCTGCAGTTACCACCGGTGGCTCGGGTGGTGAAGAATCTGCCTTCAAGGCAGGAGATGCGGAAAATGCAGTTTCCATCCCTGGGTCAGGAAGATCCTCTGGAGTAGGAAAATGGCAACCCACTCCAGTAAACGTGCCTAGAAAATCCCACAGACAGAAGAGCGTGGCGGGGTCACAGTCCGTGGACTGTCACAAAGAGTTGGATGTGACTGAGCACACACGCACTCATGCTACCCATTACCGTGGACTCACCTATTCCTGAGACCACTTACTGCTGACTACTCAGGAACAGTTCTTTATATTTCTGCCTCCTTGTATCTGCCTCTTATTTGGGTGTGGGTTTTCCCTTTCTGTGGAAAGAGATGGCTTTGCTTCAGATCTGCTTCCTGCTGTTTTCACTGGTGTTCTGCAAAGTCATTTGTGATGTCATCTTTCACGTTTCTGTTGGCCAGACTCTGTCTCCCTAGTGACTCATCCACATCATCACTCCTCTGAGATTTAATTTTCATGAAGAAGCATCCACAGAAGCCTCCCATTTAATCTACAATAACATTCAGTTCCAGTAAAGCCTGAGAGAAGAAAATGGGCTAAAATCTGTCCTTCCCTTAACTCCAGGTGACCTCAACAAGATGTTCTTCCTTCAGAGAAGATTTCTGTAGGGGCCCAGTTATTACAGAATACAGTCTCCCCTCCTGCATTCAGGTATGTTTATGTATGCCTATATATAGAACCAACTTCCAAACTGCATACACATACATTTTCTTTTATAGTTTACATTTTATTGGTTGTTTTGAAAATGTACACATACATTTTAATTTGCACATAATTTTTAATGGATGTGCCAAAAATCTAAAACAAAATCATATTAACTGTGATTCTTTTCTAAACAGTTATTCCAGTCAGTTTCCAGCCAAAAATTTGGTGACAAAGATTCCTTTAAAGGATACCAAGTATAAACTATTTTATCATTTATTAATTTATATTATTTATTTATATCACATATATTTATGTACATTAATTCAATAATTGCCTTCTTATAAATATGATAAAGTCACTTTAGGATTGCTGAAAAAAATAGAGGTTTATATTTATTCATTCATTCAATAAATATTTCTTGAGTTTCTACTATGTGCCAGACCCATACTAGATACTGAGAGAAACATCCTGAAATATCAGTGAGATAATTAAGATTATCATGAAATACTCAACAATAGAAAACAGAGTAAGAGAGCCAAAAATATGTCATACATAGCAAAGACAGTTGAGGCAATTCTCTTGATGATTTTAGCCACCCCAAACCAACCCCCCAAAACTTGAAAGCATTTCAGATCAATGATTTACTCATTATAATGAGTAAATCATTGATAATTATCAAAACATTGATAAATATGTGTAAGTATGATCTTAGACTAAAGCACTGAAACTGAATTTGAACCATATTTCTTACTTACTAGTTAGGGGATCCTTATCAAATTATTTTACCTCTTTCAACCTCAATATCCTTATCTGTAAAATGGAATTACTCTTCTGCCTGCCGCATAGAGATGCTGTAAAAATTAAATGTTGTATTAAATGCGCAAGGGGTAGCTCATGGTTCTCAAAGTTGATTATCATCGTTATTATTATTCAGACAAAAGATTTTGACTTGAATTATTTAGTTAGCTAGCTCAGTTATCCTATTCGTTTATTGTGATTTCAAATATCTTCCAAAGATTTTTGTTTTTAAGACTTGTTTATAGATGTAAATTCAGAGGTAAGCTAGTGACACTTAAGAAGGGGTGAATAAACTCCCTGAGGATGAGAAATTCAGAAAGCCAGACTCCTGAGCACTTCAGGAAGTTTCAAGAGAAACTGTATTTTTAGTCCCTATCAGCTGTAGAGATGGTTATTTGTATCAGGAGCAATGTTAAAGAACCATAAACAAAGTTCATCCTTTAACGCTAAGTCCTAGAAAGAAAGTGACAAAGAGCACACAATGAAACCTCTACCCTTAACATATAATTGCCATACTGTTAAGTTCTTTATGGGAGGGATTCAAATTGAAAAATAGGAAAATTGTTTAATGGGCAGTACTGCAACGTGCTACATTTTTGAGTAATTTAATAGTGGCAGTCCTAGGATATCTTCCATAGGAATCAGCTAAGAATTTGATTTCTTGATGTTTTCCTGTTTCCTGCTAAACTGTCAGCAAACCTCAGACACTGAGATTGTGAGGAATTTTTACTACATAATGAAAAGAAAGATTGTGTACTAGAAGAAATGCCTTTTAGTCAATACCTTGAAGGTTTAAGAAGAAGTTTTAAATACTATTATTTTCAAATCTGATTGTGTGCTTAACAGGTGTTTCTATTTTGCCATTTTTACATTGTGTGCACCAATCATAAATTCCAGTCAAGGCAACATTGGTCTATTTGGGTTAACAACTTCTTTAGGAAATTCTATTCTTGCCAAGTCATTTCTCCCTCTATCAGGAGAAATATTTACATTAATATTTCCAGAGTAGTGAACACTTATAGAATATTGCTTTAGTTCCCCCCTTCCCCTCCCCACCCCCCACCTGTATAGGCAGTCTTTGGTTTTTTCATCCTTCCAAGTAACAGAGAACTCTGGTTCTGGACTTTGGGGCAAATATTCACTTTTTACAGAAATTGTTCAAAACATCCAGGATTAAACACCTCTTTCACTCTCTCTCTCTCTCTCTCTCTCTCTCTCTCTCTCTCTCTCTCACATACACACACACACACACACACACACACACACACACACATAAATACACACCATCCCTCTCTGGCAGAATTTCCGACTTTAAAATATGCATCCCACGTTAGAGGTAGGTATAGTTTAAAGTGTCAGCTTTAAGCTGTTCCAAGCATCTCTCCGGCAAAAAGCAAGCGGAAGTGGTTGAGAAATGTCTCCAGGCACTGGTGCTTCCCCTCGAGTCAGTGAGAGTCCCCTCTCAGTCTCCCTGGCTCCCTGTATCTCTAAAACCCAAGGCACATGGGGGCGCCGAAATCCCCGCCTCCTCTTGCTGCCCAGAGCCGTTCTTAACCTTTTTTGGGCTGGAGACCTACAGAAAGTAATAGACACTCTCTCGATGGGTCTGAGGTTGGGGCAAGCACAACTGAAAAGCTTTGGGAAACTTTGAGGAGACCATGAATTTGAAACACATCCTGAACTGCCAGATGAGAACCCCAGCTCCAAAACTCTTGACCTCGGCCGGTGAAGCCAAGAGCGGAGCCCTGAAGCCAAACCCCCTCCCTCGTGAGAAACTGGGGGACGAGAAGGCGCCCCTGCGCTGGTCCACTTTCACTTGTGAGAAACCAAAAAGAGATAGGGACAGAAATTCATCGAGAAAGAGAAGAGAGAGAGATGGGGACCGTATAGAAAGAGAAAAGGGATGGGGGAGATGCGGGAACTGGTGCACAGTGGGACGGAGAGAAGAGACCATAAGCGTGAAAGGGGTTATAGAGCGGACTGACAGGGCGAGGGAGAGAAGAGATTCCGAAGGGAGAAAGAGAGGATACGGGAGAGAGACTGGAGGCACCAGGAAAGAGGGAGAACGTTCTCTGCTCTGTTCTCTCCAGGGCAGGGAGTCTCAGAAAAGCCCGTCCCGGGGAGATGGCGGACCGCACTCGGCGCCCCTGCGCTCCCGGCGACTCTGCGAGCAGCAAGTACCGCAAGGCAGCCGAGGAGCCGAGTGGCAGGAGGCGGTCCCCACTCACTCCGCTTTCTCCTCCCCTCTCCAAGAGGCGGGGACCTGAGTATTTGAGTAGCGCGCCCCCCCCCCCGCCCCCCCAGCCCCCCATTCAAGAAGCCGCTCCGCTATCCCCGCCAGCACAGGGCGCCCGGCGCGCCTCGGAGCGCACGTTCCGCGCTTTCTCCTGCCGGCTCCCTGTACATTATGCGGCCAAGCAGCCGAGCCCCAGTCCTCCTCCTCCTCCTGCTCCTCCGGCTCCTCCTGCGGCCCGAGCGGCTCAGCTCTCGGCAGGCGGCGGCGTTGCTCAGCCGAGCGCAGACGGGACCCTCGCCGCGAGACCTCAGCGACTCCTAAAGTCAAAAGTTGGCGGCGGGCACCGGGCTCCGCGCGCTCTCCGCAGCCGCAGCCTAGGCTGGGGAGGGGTGGGGAGCACCATGCAGTTTGTATCCTGGGCCACACTGCTAACGCTCCTGGTGCGAGACCTGGCCGAGATGGGGAGCCCAGATGCCGCGGCGGCCGTGCGCAAGGACAGGCTGCACCCGAGGCAAGGTAACGAGAGTCGGCCACGGGGACCTTTCCGCCCCTGTCGCCACCTCCTTAGCCTCCGTGTCCGACGGCGGACACCCCGCAGCGGAGGCCTCTCTCTCCCCTCTCCTTTTCCTAGAAAGAATTATCTCCCGCTTTGCAGCCTCTCCCTTCTTTAGGTCATTCTCAGGCATTCTCTCAAGAGACACTGTGGAAAGAACTTAGTCGTCCGCCCCCTTCTTTTAGCCTGATCTTTTTCCTTACCCATGCCAGGCCCCAAACTATAGTTGGCTAGTAACTGGGGGCACCACCTCGTCACATAATTCAGGGTATCTGTCAGGATCTATTATCATGTTACGTATTTTGTCTTGTTCAGTCTCTGACAGCATCTAACACTTTTTGACACATATTAGGTGTTCAGCAAATATTTGTCCAGTGACTGAAGGTGAAGGGATTGACTTGAATGGGGAGGAAAAAGCTGGAAAATAACTTAGGAGAACCCCCCCCACACACACACACACTTCATTTTTAAGTTAAAACTTGCAGAAAACTGTATTATCGGTTCATGTGCCTCTGCTTCTCTCTACAGCGAGATTATTAGAGACCCTGAGCGAATACGACATCGCGTCTCCCGTCCGAGTGAACGCTCTTGGAGAACCCTTTCCCAGGAACGTACACTTCAAAAGAAGGCGACGAAGCATTAACTCTGCCTCTGACCCCTGGCCTGGCTTCGCCTCCTCCTCTTCCTCCGCTACCTCCTCCCAGGAGCATTACCGCCTCTCCGCCTTTGGCCAGCAATTTCTATTTAATCTCACCGCCCATGCTGGATTTATCGCTCCAATGTTCACTGTCACCCTCCTTGGGGCACCCGGGGTGAACCAGACTAAGTTTTATTCCGAGGAGGAAGCGGAACTCAAGCACTGTTTCTACAAAGGCCATGTCAATACCAAGTCAGAGCACAGGGCCGTCATCAGCCTCTGCTCGGGAATGGTAAGCGACGCGCGCCCCTCCCCGGCCCTGCCCTCTCACCTCCTCGCCCGCGGTGAAGACTTAACTGCTCTCTAGCCCAGGACCCTCACTGCGCGGCTCTGCGCTGCGTTAAACAGGGGCTACAAACGTGTTTGCGTCCCACGCTTTGGGTGGCTACTCCGGCGAGTGTGCGGACACTTGAGAGAAGCTCATCCTCCCCGACACCCCCTCATCACGTCCCGGGAGGGGGAGTTATGAATGTTTCGGAGCTTTCTAGGGTCCAAATTCAGCTCAGCTGTTGAACTGCGTGTTGCCCCACACCAGTAGGTGGCTGGGATGTCGGTTTCCAAACTCGAAGGGACTTGTCCTTCCCTTCTGCAAACTCGGCCGCCCAGAAGTGGAGCAGCTGAGCACAGGGAGAGCCCGACTCCTTATTGGCGCATCTTGAGTCGGGGGTGTGGGCTGAGAGTTCCCCGCGTCCGGTACGGGGAGTTCCTTCTGTGTGCCTTGGAGGGCGGCGCGTAATCTAGAGTCCCCGCGTTCTCTCAGGGTCTTTTTTCAGGCGCCAGGAGCCCTGAGGCTGAACTGGATTGACAGGGAACAGGTCCGGTCTCCGAACGGAAGGGCGGGCCCAGGGCTCGGGGGCGGGGGAGAGGGCGGGGCCTGTTCTGGACGCTCGGCTTCAGCGAGGAGACTACGAGTGGGGGTGCGTCGCAGTCCGACTCCGCACCCTGCTGGCGGGTGGCCCCAAGAAGCAGAAATACTGGGCAGAGCTTGGAGAGACTTCAGTTCTCCTGAGATTTCCGCTACCCATGGGGTGCCAGAGCATTCGAAAACGGAGCCTGAGGTGCACATTTCCCTAGAGAGGGAGGGTGAGAGGGCGGGGAAACCCTCCCCCCCCCCCTCCGCCATGCACTGCAAAACACGCACTTGGCAGGGGACGCAAGCTGGTACCCCTCCGCGGTGTTTGTTTACTCACGCCCCCTTTTCTTTCCCCCTCCCCCCCGCCCCACTTGCTCTCTTGTCTGCCCTACACTTGTCTACCCTCTCCCTTTTATGGGATTTGAGGGTCCGCTGTAAGGTTTTGGCCCAAGTGAGAGCGGTTCTAGAACTTCCCCAAGCGACGTGCGTTTATGCCACGCGCTCTGACGCAGAAACTATCGTGGGTCAGGATCTCCCAGCGCACAGGGGCTGTGCGTCCTGCTCCCCAGTGATGCAATTACTTTTCCCCAGAGCACCCATACTTCCAGCCGTTACCTTTCTAAGTGGAAGCTCGACTACTTACCCAGGGCTCTTGGCTGCCCCTCCTTCCGCGCGCTGCTGTTAGTGGTTCGCGAGTCCCAAATGTTGATGTCGCATCCATCTCCACTGCTCAACCGAGGGATCGGGTGGAAAGGGAGGCAAGCTTGTAGACTGAGAGCGGGGAGGTTTAGGCTGCTGGGATGCGAGGATGAAGGTGAACTCCCTTTAGCCCCCAGCAAAGCTCCCAGAGCCGCGGTGCGTCGTTGAGATTGTTTGGGGGTGGGCGGAGACGGCAGTTTGGCGAAATGGGAGGGGGTGCTGCATGAGTCGTCGTTGCCCCGGGACGCCTGGAATCCTTCTTTTCTTGGAAAGGGTGTTTGATCTGGGTGGGTGTAAGTCAGGTGCTGGAACCCAGAGCATCAGAGTGTGCCAAGATCCCACGGCTGTAACCCCCAGTCCTGAACCTCACTGACAGGGCTGCTGTGTTTAAGTCAGGTTTGTAAACAGCCTTTTCTCCTCCTCCCTCCCCGCCTCCACACCCTGCGGGGTGGCCCCAGCAGTGGTGGAAACGTTTTGCTGCGCAGGACCTTAATTTCTATTGGCAATTTTAGGTGGTAACTCGCACTTGTAACTGCAGAGTAGTAAGTAACTCTCTTAGGGAACTGAGGGCCAGGACTTAAGAAAGATGAACCCCTAGACCTTGAGTTCTTTTGTATTGCGCCTAATTTGCAGTCTGGCTCTTTTTTTGGAGGGGAGGGAGGTGCAGAAGATCTGGCCTGTTATCTGAAAAATATGCGAGGTAGCCGTTTATAGCTGGAATGAATCTAGCTCCAAAATCCTTGCCCCTTTGTCTTCCTTTTGGAATTTATCTTTCTTGGAAAGATGTCCCCGTACCGGTTTGGTACTTGTAGTATCTTGGTGCTCCTCCTGGTGCTCTCAGGAAATCTTCCTGGGAATCGTTCATTCTTTAGACTGAGCCACGGCAGCCTTCCTCCCTCCCCTCGCCCTACTGGTCAGTTATTAGTTTCCCTGAAATCCTTCTCAGATGTGTTTCTCACCTGTTTTGAGCAGCCCCACTCTACCTCCAGATCTCTTTTCTTCTCTCTTCCTCTTTCATTAGGGCTGATGTCTAAGAAATATTTCTGTCTGGCTTCTTCTTCTGGTCTTTTCTCTTTAATCCCTGGCACACACTGCTTGGGGCTTCCCTGGTGGCTCAGAGGTTAAAGCATCTGCCTACAATGTGGGAGACCTGGGTTCAATCCCTGGGATGGGAAGATCCCCTGGAGAAGGAAATGGCAACCCACTCCAGTATTCTTGCCTGGAGAATCCCATGGACAGAGAAGCCTGATGGGCTACAGTCCACGGGGTCGCAAAGAGTTGGACACGACTGAGTGACTTCAGTTCAGTTCAGTTTTACACACTGCTTGTAGATTAGTGATGACAAGGTGCAAAATCACTTTGCTACCCTGTTCAGTTACTGCACAGACCTCCCCACTGCCTAGTGAATGACTATAAATTCTTCACTCTGGCACTTAAGGCCACTGACAGTGTACCTCCTCACCCCTTTGTACATCTATAGTGTCTAGTCTCATCTGTCAAGCTTTGCTTCACACATCCTACATTTCAGGCAAACTGTTTTTGCACATTGCATTTCCCTCCCATCTCATGACCTTTGGGCCTTTGGATTTACCAGGTGACCTCAACCAGCTTCACGTGCTCAAATCACACCCTTCTTTCAAAGTGTAACTAGTGTATTTTGTTCCCCAGGAAACCTCTTCCTGGTCCTTCAGACTGCTGCCTTCTCTCTCCACTTTCACAGACATATACCTCTCTCCCTCCTTGATGTTTAGTGTGCTCTCCCTTGTATTATGGTTCTTGCAACACATGTTCTATCCCCTTTTCCTGGGAAGCAGGGTCAGCATCAATTCATTTCTCTCCCGCAGTGGAACCTTTTGTGTATTGAAAGTACTTAGAGCCTGTATTTGAATAAATGGTCACCTTAGCCAAGAAAAGGTTACTCTTCATTCAAACAACTGTGTTGTGAATCAGCCACAAAATTAATTTGACCTCATTTATATTCCTTTTACTGAACTCTTGTTATGTGTCTTGTACTGTAATAAGTACTTTATGTATACAATATTTCATCTGAATCCTTACAACAGCCCAATCCTTGAAAGAACCCATTTTGCAGTTGTCACTGAATCTTTGAGAGATGGGGACTTGCTTGTGGTTTCACAGGTAGCAAGTGACAGAGCTGGGGTTCCCATCCATTCCTTCTGACCATACTCTTAACCATGGGCCTGAGACTGAATCTGTGTTCCTAAAGAGAATTTCAAAGTTTTATTTTTCTTTTTTAAAGGCACTAGACTAGAGTCAGGGTACCTGAGTCCCAGATTTAGCAGGAGAACTAGTCCACTGCATCTGTATCACTGAAGGGGACAAGTCAGTTCCTGCCTCTGGACCTCAGTTTCCCCTTTTAGTAATCAAAGATGCCAGACTTTCACCAGATGGGCTCCCAGATTCTTTCTCAGTATTTGTGGCCTGTCTCTAGTAGCTTTCACATGTTGTAGTCGGTTTCTTGCTTTGTGCTCAGAGAGCATCAGAGTTGTGTTTTGAAAATAGGGAGAGGTGCTTGGGTAAAAGCAAACTTGTTAAATCATTTCTTCTCTGGAAGACAATTACTCTCTTATACTGACACCAGACTGTGTCAAAGCTATCTTCTCTTTAAGTCAGGGGCTGATGAACTACATGGAGAGTTTTTTTAAAAAAATACAAAGATTAGATCTTACCATTAGAAATACAAAAATCTAAAAAAAAAAAGAAGAAGAAAGAAAGAAATACCAAATCTGCATACATAGGGTGATTTCTCAAATCTAAATTTATTTTTCAACTTCCCAGGAAATTTTGACACATAGCTGGGTTTGGGAACCCCAGTGCTTAGCTAAGTACTTTAAAACTTGGTCATGCCTAAGAATTCTAAAATGTCAGTTCTTGTGCCCTACCTACCCCCCCGATATTTCAATTCAGTAGATTAGAATTTGGGTGGAATATCAGCACTTGAGTGCTGATACTGCCACTGATGTTCAAGAGCAGTCATTTCCTGGGTCCAGGGGAAAGTCAAAGGCCTGTGCCTTTTCCCCCACATGGAGGGAAAAGGAACCACAAAGAAGGAGAGAAGAGCTTGGTTTTTTCCTTGAAATACTGCCCACTGGCCTGGCCCGGGGTCTTTTTATCGCTCTTGTAAGGTTTCCTTTGGGTGGCTCGACTTTGCAGCTTCATTTACAATTTGCAGAACTTGTGGGTGTATGGGAAGGGGAGGAGAAAGAGTTACTGTGAAACTCTTAGAGTGATTGGCAAACACAAATTATATCCTGGTGGTTAGAGGCTGGCTTACTCTGCAACACCAAAAGCCACTTCTGTTCCAAGCCCTGACAAGGTATCACTTTGTAGTTTACACACATTATCTCATTTAATCTGCACAGTGACAGTAAATATGTTTATCCCTCATTGATAAACAAGGAAGGTGAAGCTCAGAGTAGTTAAGGAACTTACCCAAGGTGGGCGAGCAAGTGGTGGCACTGAGGTTGGAGGCCTGGGCAGCCTGACCGGAGAGTTTTACCCCGGTCAGGCCCTGTGGGCGGGGAGGGGCCTGATAGAGGCTCCTCACTGTCCCTGGCAGCACCGTCGTGAGTGCCTCTGGTCAACATGTGCTTCCTGATTTTCAAGTCAGGATAAGGCTTTCTTGAGGAGGCTTTTCTCTTTGGAACTGATACTTGTCCCTGTTTCCAAGCTGTCCTAACACACAGAAACCCTCTTTCAGCAGCCTGGAGGAGTGAATATAATTACAGCTTAAGCACCGAGGAAATATTTCTTAGAGACTGATTTGGATAGCAGGTTCTGTTAGAGTCCAATCAAAAGTTGAGGTATTGATATGACAGAGAGTGAAAAAAGAAAAATAAAAAAAACTACTTCTCCAAGTACACCAGTAAGATTTTCAGCTCAAGGAGCCCTCATGGGAAAGGAGTTGGGTAAGATGGCACCACTTACTTGGCATTGTTCCACTGTCTTTTTTCTCCCAATGGCTAGGTTATATTAAATCAACTTCTCACCTCTCTCTGTTTGCAGCTGGGCACATTTCGGTCCCATGATGGGGATTATTTTATTGAACCACTACTGTCCATTGATGAACAAGAAGATGAAGAGGCGCAGAACAAACCCCACATTATCTACAGGCACAGCAGCCCCCATAGAGAGCCGGCAGCAGGACGGCATGCATGTGACACCTCAGGTATTTGCATCTTGCTTAAACGGGAGATCCTAGCTGTGTGAGCTAGGTTACTTGCCAGGCCTCAAAGATGTAGCTGTTTCACAGGCTACAGAGCACTCCCATTTACTTTGTCTTCGTTATTCAGTCTTCAAGCCAGGTAGATGTATTCCATTGTACAGGCGTGGAAACTAAAAAGGTTTAGTCCCTTGTCCATTGTTGCACGGTTAGTAAGTGACAAATCCAGGAGGTGAGCTCATAGAGCAGGGACTCCAAGCCCATTCTGGGCAGAGCCACCTCTTGCTGAAGTTGCTTATTTTTAGGATTAAGCTTTAGTGCTGTCTTGAGGCTATTGTTACTGTATTCATTAGGACTTCTAGGTGTACAAGTATGAAAAAAGTCTTAGAAATGGAAGGCACAAAAACTTCTATACGTTTATTGGAATTTTTTTCAATCAACTTCAGTGTAACTACTGTTCTGTGACTTCAGGAAGCACAGGATGGAGCTGTGGGTGTCAGTTGAGTGCATGTATACCTGCTACAGATTTTCTTCCATCCTGCCCAGATTCTTGGAGGTTTGGTGCTTAACACGCTTGGCCATTGTCGGTTATGTTTCCCCTGGGCACACTCTTATGCTTGTGTCTGCTTCTCTGTCTCCAGTCCTGAAGCACCCTTTCACTATCTCTGAAGCCTGCTTATTTCTCTCTGCTTGTCCTGTTTCTTTGGAAACCATCTATCTGGTCCTAAGTTTTAGGATGTTTGTTAAAATATCATCTTTTTTTATTGTTTCTAAAGTTTTATCCCTCCCCTCCATTCTTTATTTTTTAAAGTCTCTTCCTCAAATTAAGTGATTTCTCAGGGTGTTTCTGGATTCTCCAAATAAGACCAAAATTCAAGACCAAGAAGGTCTTCCTAAAATGATCACTTGTTTCATTTGTATCTATATCAGGTTCTTCCACTGTGACAGAGTGTGATGTCCTCTTCTCTCCCGGAATTATTAGTTCTAAAGTGAAACCTTTAATAAAAGATGACACTGGCTTGTAACGTGGTATAGCCAAGTCATAGGGTGTGTCATCTGGCTTTCTCCTACTCAGTCCTGTGTTCTTAACCACCAGGGCTAATTGGAACATAACTGAAATGTTCTGTCTAGACTCTCTACAGAGCCAAGGGGTAGAGATAGGAGTCAGAAGTCAGAAACAGTCGTTAGGGTGCCAAGACTGCCAGCCATCTGCAAGCTGAATGGCAAGACATTTATCACATCTTTGTGGCCCTCCTAATAAGAATGTAGACCTTAACTTCTGACTTTCTAAATCTGAACTAGGAAGTGCCTATTTTATGCATATGTGTAAAGAAAGGAAATATCTCTCTTCCACTTCCATCTTATATAATGTACATTCAAAAGATAAATAACATTTTCATTGATCAATTTGTTGAACATTGGCACTTTCTGACACTCTTCTCCCTAAAGTGAAAGCAAACCACTGTTTTTTAAAAACTGCCTTTTATTATTTATTATGGTCTTATTTTTTTACTGACATTGGGCAAAGCACTTTACCTGCACGACTTCACTTAATCATTACCACAGCGACCCTATGAGACAGACACCAGTCACCCCTCCATTGTGCCTATTAAAGGAGCTGAGGCTTTCAGAGATGAAACAGCTTGCCTAAGATCTCACAACTAGTCCTTGATGACAACCCATGATTTCCTGTCTTATCTTGCAGCCTTTGCTGTGTGTAGCTGTGATGTGTATGAGTGTGTACATTCAGGTGTGTGTGTGTGTGAGAGAGAGAGAGAGAGGAGTCTTTCTTAATACTATCATTCCAAAAATTCTCTGGGTTCATTTTCTTAAATTAATTACCAAAATAAATAGACATTTGGTTTTCTGGACCAGAGGAGAAGTCATTGTCAAGTTCAGTTAAAGACACAAAAGAGAGGGAATCTGCAAAGGTAAGAAAAGAGGACAGCAAAAGATGCCTTTGCTGTCTTTACCATTTTTGGGGGAAAAAAAATTTTTTTTTTCAAAACCACTAATTTATGTTCTAATTATCAGTATTGAGGCCTCTGAGCCATCTTCCAAATCACCAGTGCCAACTTTTAGTTTTCTATCTGGTTTTTTGCTTGCTGGTGACCAATCTGGCAGACCCTTCCCTCACCCTGTGTGATGATTCAGAAGGCCGGCAGTTTTGATTGGCTCTTTCAAAGGTTGCTGTTGGACTATGCCCACTCTGGTTTTTCTCTCCCAGCTGCTTCAGCTCCCCTTCTTTGAGTTCAGATACAGGAAGCTCAGAGCAATTGGAGAGAACTTTGGGACATGGCACGTTTCACCAGCAGCCATTAACAGCATGGACCAGCAGATCAGAAACCTCCAAAATCCAGGGAGCTTTGGCACAGGAAGTAAAAGTAGGTGGGGGTGGGAGAAGTCCCTCTGGCTAGGGATTATCTGGCCAATGCAAATATCAGTTCATTCAGCTTCAGAGATATCCCCCCAAAAGCACTGGTTGGTAATCAGAGGTAAACTTTAAAAGTGCCCTGGGAGCCTCATGCAGATTCTTTAAACAAACTCCTCTTGCAGGGAAGTGAGATGGAGCAAGAATCAGTGGGGTTCATAAAGCATTCCAAGTGACTTAGAAATTCAGTTCTATGTGAGAGTTCCCACTAAAGTGGGTTTTTGGGCAGTAAGCACTCTCCATAGCTGGCAGTGTCTTTGCATCTCCATCACTGCCTTCTGTCTTCACTTCTCATAAAGTGATGATTCAAGTTAGAAGAAATTAGCTGTAGGTCAACATGCTAACTCTACCCAGATGAGCAAACTGTAGCCTGGGATGTTAAGTGACTTGTTTACAGGAGTGATACTTAAATATTCAACAAGAAGCCTTCAGAATTTAAGATGGCCCAAGCCTGGAAGCAGGCACCTGGAAGCCCTCTGCTGAGCTAGGTGTAACCCTTTAGTTGCTGGATTATGAGAGTCTTCCTGGGGGCAGGGCACTGTGGCTGTGACACTGCTTCCTACAGACGGAATAGAAGTCTTGCTCATTTCTGATTGTTAATGTATGTTGAGTTTTCAAAAAGGATTCTGAGATAAGTTCTATTAAAAAGACATGTAGAAGAAGTCTTCTGGAGTAAAAATGTTATGAAATTAGAAAGGAGTCTACAACATAATTTATTCATTAATGTGTGCATTTATTCATTCAGCTGTGAGCTATTTATTAACTGCTCTATGCCATGAGGATTAAACCATCTTTTTAGTTAGATATGTGACCTGAAGCACATTTAGAACATAAAGTAAGAGTAACATGTCCCTTCCAAGAGGGTAGGTAGGACTAAATGAGTATGAACTAATGAAAACTCCAGGGACAGATGGTAGACAATCACTGAATGGGAGATTTTTTTTTTTAATGATCATAAAAATAGAAATTAAGACCATGGCTAAGTGTGGTGACTCAAAAAATTTGGTATTTAGACTCAAAATACCAAAACTCAAAGTTAATCATATCCCTGAGGTTAAGCTTAGAGCTTCTTGGTCACCTGATCATAAAAGGCCAATAAGAGACTTGCCCTATGGTGCTCCTGCCAGTGAGTGGCAGGGGTAAGAACCCTTTCTTTGTGTTTATCTCTACCTAATGCAGCATTTTCGGAGAAGGCAATGGCACCCCACTCCGCTACTCTTGCCTGGAAGGTCCCATGGACGGAGGAGCCTGGTGGGCTACAGTCCATGGGGTCTCCAAGAGTTGGACACAACTGAGCGACTTCACTTTAACTTTTCACTTTCATGCACTGGAGAAGGCAATGGCAGCGCACTCCGGTATTCTTGCCTGGAGAATCCCAGGGACGGGAGCCTGGTGGGCTGCCATCTATAGGGTCACACAGAGTTGGACACAACTGAGGTGACTTAGCAGCAGCAGCAGCAGGATTCAGGATGGGTTGTGGGGTAGCTTCTCTTTCTTATGGCAGGCCCTTGTGACTGGTCTCCCTTGCCCACTGGCTCCTCAGTAGAGGTCTTTGAGGTGACTGTCTGCTCGCCCTAAATGCCAAGGGGGCTGAGTGGTAGACTCATGGGAACTGTTTGGGAGAGTTTGTTGCTTTTTAAAAGCCCCTTCATGCTGATCCTTTGCATTGCATTTCTAGCTGGCACCCCAAATTCTGTTTCGCAGACACTTGCTATATGCCTCTGGATTTTATGCAAAAGGATTTAGTTGTTTCTGTCAGTGAAAGAGATGCATTTCCCAATAAGTGAATGAGAGGAAGTCAGGAGAAAAGATGAACAGAAGGTTGTTCTGTTTCAGTTCAGTTCAGTTCAGTTGCTCAGTCATGTCTGACTCTTTGCGACCCCATGAATTGCAGCACGCCAGGCCTCCCTGTCCATCACCAACTCCCGGAGTCTACTCAAACTCATGTCCATTGAGTCAGTGATGTCATCCAGCCATCTCATCCTCTCTCTTCCCCTTCTCCTCCTGCCCCCAATCCCTCCCAGCATCAGGGTCTTTTCCATTGAGTCAACTCTTCACATGAGGTGGCCAAAGTATTGGAGTTTTAGCTTCAGCATCAGTCCTTCCATTGCACACCCAGGACTGTNCTCTTCCCCTTCTCCTCCTGCCCCCAATCCCTCCCAGCATCAGGGTCTTTTCCATTGAGTCAACTCTTCACATGAGGTGGCCAAAGTATTGGAGTTTTAGCTTCAGCATCAGTCCTTCCAATGCACACCCAGGACTGTTTGCCTGGACCTGAAAGACAGTGACTCTCTGTAACTAAAGTGCCTCTCTCACCCTCCCATCTCAGCAAGCCTAGCTGTTTTGCTTTCCCTTAAGGCATTTAAGAGTTGTACACTCACTGACCCATCAACACCGCTTCTAAGGAAGTAATTGTGGACATTTGTGTTAACAGGTTTATATACTGTGTCTGGTGGTGTTTATTATAGCAAGTGACTGGAAACAACCTAAGTGCCTTTGGTTGAAGGATAGATCAATAATTGGTGAAGTCTGCATTTGATGGATTCCTATACAGCCATTAAAAATGATGGCTTGG